AGATTTTTATGTCTGGGAAGAGAAAGTAGAGCCAGAGGGCTGTATCAGTGGCAGAGATCATGCAGAACTAATCGGGAAAGTCCCCTGAGAAGAAGCAAACATTGTGAGTAGGAGAAATCTTAAGGGGGACATGTGAGAAGGCAGTTTCTTTTTGGTGGGAGGTTGTGGAGATTGAACCCAGGACCTTGTGCATGCCACCATTCTATCGTTACTATACCCAAACCCGAACCACAAATTTTAACATCACCATACTGCTCAGGTCCAACCCATTGTGCCAGGCTCTCTGAACAGCCTGATGAACTCTGTACATGATTTGCTTTTTAAAATTCTTTTTATTAGTGTACATTTACAGTACAAAATTTGATTTGCTCTTGACAGGCTGTGGTGGTCATGTGCCTCTCTGCTTTTCATTCCCCAGGTTGCAGATTTTCTGTAACACTAATTTTACATGTAGTGATGACAAAACTTATAGTCATCCTCATTATAGCAGCAGTTGACATGCTCCACCTGGCTGTACTGAGTCATTTTACATTGTCTAGATCTACAGATGGTGAGTATCAAAAGCTGCTTTAGTTAAGATACTCCATTTAATAGGTAACCTGCTTTATGACTTTTCTTTTTGTGTGTGATAACACACAGGTGAGATCCCGGGAGACATGTGGGATGCTATAGTTCCTGCTTTCATCCCTTTTTTCTCTTGTGTGTAAATCTTTTATTTGGCTGGATTGGTTGCCTAGGAAACAGCTGCAGGTTAAAGATAGATTGGCGTTTGGTGAATGGCGTTACAGGGGCCCATCAAGAGGCAAAAAACTAGTGAATGGCTGCGCTTGTGCTTAATAGGGCTATGCTGCAGAAACCCACATTGAGGAAAACAGTTCTACAAGAGAACTTACTCAGTGCACTACAGTTTTAAGTTTAGTTTGTTTTTAATTCACCAAATCATCAAGTGTTTTTTAGTTACTGCTTCATATTCACTGCTAGAGGCCATTTTAGGGTCTTCCAATGAACTAGAAGGTACCATTACTTCCTCTGAAAAGTTCTCATTGTCTTAAGTAAAAAAAAGCTATCTTTGGGTTTTTAGCTCAGGAACTCAGCATGTACCAGGGCCTGGGTTCAGTACAGATGCACACATTCACACAAACAAAGAAGAAAAAAATTACCATTTATAGTCAAGGGCATACCATTTGTGATGATGCAAGTCTGTAATCCCAGCACTCAGGAGGTTGAGACAGGATGATTGCCAGAAGTTTAGGCCAAATGTGGGCTACATAGTTCAAGGCTAGCCTGGACTACATAGAGAGACATTCTTTACCAAATAAAATAAAATAAAATCAAGGGGAAGGCCCCAATTCTGTGACCCAGATGTGTTAAGAAAATTTAAAGTTGGGCTGGGGATTTAGCTCAGCGGCATAAGCACCTGCCTTGCAAGCAGGCAGTCATGAGTTCGATCCCCGGTACCGGAAAAAAGGAAAAAAAGAAAATTTAAAGTAAAAAATCTTGACTTTTGAAGGGATGGATTTCAATCTATGGGCAGGAAATAAATGTGTAGGTACTAACACTACCTGAATTGACAAGATTAGTAGCAGCACAGTTACCCTCGCAGATTCCTCCATTTAGCTTAAGGAGCGTGTGTAGTTATGATACAAATTTTGTAAAGAGTCTTACTGTAGAAAATGAATTATAACAAATCCTGACCATTGTTTGTTCTAGCCCTTTTATGATATATTTAAGTAAAGTCTATTTTTGCTGAAAGTAGATAGCATATTAGTTTTGGAGCGTCTGACTACTATGGTAGCGCTAAACAAGATTGACACTCATTTGGTGGAGGGGGTGCTGCCAGGGCCCTAATGCATACTAAGCACATCTTCTACTATTAGGCTATAACCCCTAGCCCACAATAAAACATTTTGTATGTTGATATTTTTATTTGCTGTTTATCTTCTGGTTGTCAATTAGAATTAGCTCTCCTTTCCTTCGAGGACCAACCTGCTGAATATTTAGCCTTGATTTGTTTTGAAAAGGAATTTTATAAATATAGTTTATAAACATAGTTTGTTCAAACCTGAACATCTGTCAGGTTATTCCCAATTCGTTTGTAGAAGGTATCTCCATAATTTTCATTTCCTTATTTATTCTGTTTATATTCATTTGGTATAATACATCTGGTAGGAGAAAAAATACTTAGGTAGGCAGGTAGAAGAAAAAAACAAACCTGCTCAGAAAGCTTAGTTATAGCGGGTTAAGTTTCATTGTTTATGTTCTTTATCATATCCACAACCCAAGAAAGAGAAACAATGTAAGGATTCTCTGTAATGTTTTAAAGGCGAGCTATTTTAATTATGATTTAATAAATCTACAGGGTTTTTTTTGTTTGTTTGTTTGTTGATTTGTTTGTTTTTGGGGTTTGTACAGGGAGTCAAAACTCAAGACCTACACCTACCAGGCAGGTGCTTATGCCACTGAGTTATGTCCCCAGCCTTACAGTTTTTAATATTTGCCAGCCAAAAATAATTCTCAAATGTAAATCTAAGTCCAATAGAGTCTATATCATTACCAATGAACTTTATTTGTATGTTATGAAAAAAGTTGCTTCTATAATAGAAATCCACAGTATTGCATTTTGGTGAAGGGTCTTTCACTGCCTGTAGTCCATATTCTTATAGCAATTATAGCTTTTATAAATGAATAGTAACTATATGAGAGTAATCTGTTACAAGTCTTTCCTGAAAGACCTAGTTTCTTGCTTGGGAATTCTTAGGCACTGCTATGCATGCCTTTCTTATTTCCAAAATTACAATAAATGCATTATCATAGTACGGCACTCTTTCCCCTCAAGTAATCTCTTGAAGGAAACTTTTTAGTGTTTCAGTTTAAGAACAGTTTTGTAGCTCCTTGGTACCTGCTTATCCCCTCTCCTGGTTTCAAGCAGTTACCGTGAAATTTGAAAGATTACAATAATATCAAATATTTTCATTTGACATACCTCTCTTTGGCCTATAAAGTTACTCAGCCCCAAGCAGCAGATGAGAGCCACACTGGATGGCTTTACTATGAAGATTTGTACACTTTGACCCATCTGCCTCATGCTGCCTGTAACAACCCCATAACTATAATACTATTTGTACTTGTGCTGGAATTGCCAGGTGGGCCTAATTATTAGATATTTGGGAGAAAAGGTTTAACTTGTTTCATTCTACTTACAGTTATGGTCAAATTTCACATTAAGAGGGAAAAAAGACTTTAATTTGAGAGCAGTTCTGATTTTTTGCTTCACTTTAACATGTTGCTTTATTTCTAACAATGTATCAGTGGCAAAATATAACTAACACAAAGCAGTTCCCTCCAGAAGCCTTGCCTATGTGCACATACCTATATACTAACAAATCCAGCCCTGGTCTGCTACTCCTACCAAAGCTACTTCTAGGAATTTTACTGGCTGACTTACAGAAGACACTTATTTATGGCAAGCAGTATGATATTGATGTCAGTGTCTTTATTATTTTTAATTTGTGTTTATATTGAGAATATATTGCACACCAAGATAAGACACATGCACACACACAATCACTAAAGATACAAAAATCTATTGTGTTTTCAGCAGCTCCAGAAATTTCTGTTCTTGTACTCTTGGTAACCATTTTCTCATCTGCAGTTCCTCTTGGCATTTTTATTCCTCTTATTGAGGAAAAGGAGAAAATACTCTTTACCTTCTTGCTTTATAAATTACTTCATATCAATTTGATCGACAGGTTCTTTGAATTTGGTTTGTGTTTTGTGGTTTTTTTTTTTTTTTTTTTTTTCTTGTAGTGTTAAGGATCAAACCCAGGGCCTTGTGCATGCAAGACAAGAACTCTATCGCTGCGCCACATCCCCAACCCTGGTTCCTTGGGTTTACAAGAGAATGTGCTTATGGAAAAACAGCATTTGATGTTTTTACAAAAGTCATTTGTGTTATTTAAATATGGGGGGGCAACAAGGCATAAAAAATTAGCCTTGTGATTTGCCTTTGTGCTTTTCTGTTGAAGTGTGACAATAATGATTTGGCAGTATTAACATTTGTACGCTATAAAAATTGATGAGCTGGATCCTTTAACTCTGATAAACATATCACTTCTACATAATGTGATATTTAATTTTATTTGTATATTATGATTAGGCATATTTCAAGTTTTTCAGTTTCCTAAAAAAACCTTTCCCTCTGCTTAGCTAAAAGTAATATATGTCTTGAATCAGGGAATAGAAAAGTCACAGTTCCTTCTGATAGTTTGCAAGTTCCATGAGGGCAGGAACCTTGTCTATCTTGTTCACTGTCTAGAGCAGTGCCAGACAGAAGTACTCAGAAAAGCATTTGTTTAATGAATAAATGAATTAGCTGCCTTTTAATCTGCTTTTTGTGGCTTCTATAAGGTTTTGGGTTTGATTTGGTTTGGCTTGGTATTTTGTTTTTGAAATTTACTATGTATATTATGCCAGGTATTGCTGTATGATGAATGACAGCCGAATGCTTAAGGGTAGGACTCCAGAATTAAGTACTTGCATGATCCACAGACAAGATTTTATAGAGACTGAAGAAAAGAGCTGTCTTGGTTACTTTTCTCTCGTTGCTGAGACAAAATACCTGACACCTAAAATGAAAAAAGGGAAGATTTATTTAGCTCACAGTTTGTGGAGGTTTTAGTCCATAATTAGCTGGCTCCAAGGCAGGGTGGAGTGGCTAAGGGGCAGCCTTTCTTGGCGAGTGACAGGCAAAAGTGACACACCCCAGGGTGGGTGTAGTACTCACCGCCAAACCCAGCACTAAACAATGAAGTAATCACAAATACTAGATTCAGCCACTTTGAAAGACCTGCCCTCTATGACCAAATGATGCTTTGGTAGGACATCCAGGCACAAACCATAACAGAGGTGGTAATGAGAAATAGTCACTGAATGTGTAATGAGAAATAGTCACTGAATGTGCTAGACCCACTAACCTGTTTCTACTTTTTGCATCTTCCCAGGAGCACTCACCGTGGGCCTTGTGCGACAGTGTCAAACAATCCATGGACGAGACCGAACCTGCATCCCTCCCCGGCTTCCCCCCGAGTGGGTCACCACACTGTTTTTTATCATCATGGGAATCATTTCATTGACTGTCACATGTGGTTTGCTAGTGGCTTCCCACTGGCGAAGAGAAGCTACAAAATATGCTCGTTGGATAGCATTCACTGGAAGTAAGTAACTTGTACTTCTACATTTTCTTTCTTTCTTTCTTTCTTTCTTTCTTTCTTTCTAGTACCAGGGATCAAGCTCATGATCTTGTGTTTGCCAGGCAAGTGCTTATGCCGCTGAGCTAAATCCCCAGCCCCAGCTTCTACATTTTCTAGAAAATACACACACTGCTATGTTTATGAAGATAATTAAGAATCAGTAACGAGGACTGTATAATCATCAGAGAGTACCATTTTTCATATGCCCATGAAATAAACTCTTCAAAACTCTTCCTATAAGACCAGGACAGCCACAACTTAATTGCTTTGTATGAATTACTATTTTAATGACTCTTATTTTTTAATCACTTTGTGACATAAGTTATTTCAGATTTGTGACTCAGGAGCTGTTACTAACCTGAGTCTTTTCTTCATGAAGGTATTGGTATCTTCTATCAAAATAAAGATAAATCTAGAAAAAATATTAAAAATACAAATTAATTATATTTAATATCATTGGTTTTGAGTTTCTTTTTGTATTGTTGTATGATCATTGAAGAATCAGCAACACATTTGGTTATTTAATAATTATCAACATTTCTTACTCCCTTAAGCTATACCCAATGGTATGATAAATTTATATATTATATAATCTCTTATACTTTGCAAAGTTGGAAAGTAATCTTATCCCAAGTTAAACAAAAATTTAGTTGCACAAAGCAAAGGTATTTCTATAATTTTGTCTTTTTACTTCTTTCTCTGTAAAGCACTTTTGTACCCTGGGGGACATTTGGCAACATATGAAAAATTTTTTGGTAGTCACAGGTATCACTAGCCACCTATCTAGTGTAGGGGCAACAGTAAGTATTGCTAACCATCCTCCAGATGTACAGGGCAACTCCCCACAGTGAAGAATTATCTGGCCCAAATGACCATGCTGCCTCTGTTAAGAAATCCTACAATAAATGGGATGACAGTACCATATTATGAGACTTAGCTTCCAAATCAGTGTCTCAAAATCTTGTTTGCCTAAGATCTAAAACTAGAACTAGTATGACTAAAGTATAAACTCATTATCCCTGTTAATGTTAAAACTCAGTTTATCTTTAAGGTTGTAGGACAGTAATATTCCCTTATGGCTTTCTGTTTCTTTCTAGCTTTCTGTGAAACTTTCTCTTTCATATGTATTTCAGGCTTTATTTTACTTTTCTCTCTACATTCCTCTTAATTTTAAAATTTAGATTGAGCAAGGTGAATTTGATATAAAATGCTTTTTCACCCTTGTTAAGCAGTATGAAACAAGTTGATGGTCTTTGCTCTGTCAATGAGACCTGAGACAATTTTGTTCTAGAGAATAAGGGCTAGAGACAGTTGTGATGACAAGGAGCTGAAGGGTACCAAAAAGGAGTTTAAAGAGGACATAATTCTGTATCGTTTATTCATAAACACATATCACTTACCTAGAGGATTTCACTCTTTAAAGAATAGAATAATATGAAACAAGCAGTTAGCGTCTGCATTTATTTGAAATTTGGGAGTATATATGCTCTGAATATCAGAAATCTAAACTGTAATTTAGCAAAGTTGTCTGAACCAAAGTATGCGAAAGATTCATGAGCGGTTGGTTCACCTGACCCAGGAAAGGGAGAGAAGTAGGGTTCTGTGTAGCTCATTTTCCTTCAGCAGAAAATATTTAAGTATGTATAATCAAACCCCAAATACAATATATTTTTCTACTTTAGTTAAGCGAACTTTTAAAAATGATGTGTGTATGTGATATGTAATTCAAAGTCTCTGACAGGGCAAATAAAAAGTCTCCTTTATGGTCTTGTCACCCAGCCATCCAATCACTATTAAACTAGTTTCTGAAATTTACTACTGGAAGTATTCATATAGGGAATACACACATATGTCTGTATGTCTTATGTATTTACACAAACATTTTTATACTATTCTGTACTTTTTATTTTTAAATACATTTTAGGGTTGATTTTACTTAAGCGGGCATAGAGCTGCCTTATTCTTCATTTCCTTATCTATTGTTTTTGGTATCAGAGCTAGTCTTCTATTGACAGTTGTGAGAGGAATTGGGCTCTCCCTAATGATTCCTTTCAGCCCTTGATTGTATGTATTTCTATTCCAGTTAGGCTGCTGGTAACTCAAATGGCTATGTATACTGATGAAATAACATCTCAAAGGAGAACCTCACGTGGGTCTTGCCCATGGGGGCAAAAGAAAGAGAAAGGAGTCCTCTTCTCTAAGTCCAAAGCTGTTCTTTCCTTTGCTACTCTATCTTCATACCATATCTACCAGTACTCCCGATTTCTTACTCTTAGCACTAAATAACATGTGCCATGGAGAATATGAAGTTACATCTTTACGAGCTTATTTAGGTGATTCATATCAAAGTTAGTAATATATTAAGAGCTAAAGTACTATATCTACATAGTTCTCAGTAACTTAAAAGAGTCATCCACCTCCTTTAAATCTGTTCCCCAGGAAGCGTAGAGAATGTAATTCCCAGGATTTAAAACCAGTGTTAGAATGAATAGGAGTTTATTGCTTCTATAACACTGATTAGGCTTTCCTAACCAATTTGGAATTTTTAAAAGTTTTTGAGAATATTAAATTCTAACCATAGTCACTAAATGAGCACTCCATGATAGATACAGTAGAAAATAGATGTAAAGTTGCCCACGTATACCAATTAACAGAAGGAACAAATTTAATGTCTATCTTTTTAGCATTTTCTTCTAAATTACTGTAGTGTTTCTTGAGTTAGTCAACCTTTAGAAAACATCTTGTTATGCTAGGGATTAAACCAAAGGTCTTTTCACTGAGCTACATCCCTGTGTCCTTTTATTTTGAGACAGAGTCTCACTAAGTTGCCCATGCTAGGCTCAAACTTGCGATCTTCCTGCCTTAGTATCCCAGAGTGCTTATAGGCTTGTACCACCATGCCTGGCTTTCTTGAGGTTTTTTTTTTTTTTTTTTTTTTAATTAGCTTGTCTATTGCTACCTAAATCTTGGTTGTATTTTATTTACCAAACTTTATTAAGCCATAAGAACCATTACAATTAATGATAGCACTGATAAATGAGCATTAACACTCATAAAGTTGTTTGTTGCTGACTATACAACAGAAAGGCAAAAAGTAATAAAATTTAACATCTGAATTTTTATTTGTGCTATAGTAGGTATTGGAAAAACTTCAAGTTCACTTATGTAACATATTTTTGGATCATTTTGCCCAAAATGAAGTATTATCTATGTATGTATAACATAAAATCTACCTAAATGGTGCAAAGCAGAATGCTGTTATATTCCTTAAGTGTTAGGTTACTTAAGTAAATATTACTTTTTAATACACCGTTGAAGGAATTCCATCTAAAAAAGGATTTAAAATTGGCTTTTTAAGGATTCTTATGTTAAATTCTATTGACTGATTAATATACATACAAAGATGTACAGACTCTGTCAGCTGATGTGTTTATCCAGGGTTCTGCCTGTATCCCTAAGATAGATTTAATTTGAGAAGATTTCTCATTGAATTAATACTGGAAAGCTTCAACTCTTTACATACAGTGACTAGAAATCTATACTGAGGGACTGTTTTTGCTCCAAAGAAATGTGAAGGATTATGAACATTTGAACAATATGTCTTCAAAAACCAAAAATAGTTTCATAAAAATGCTAGATTATGTATAGGCAGTTTTTGCTTCTCCCCCCACACTAATATTGTTCTAGAAATATTTTAGCAAATTATAAATTTTACTGTATTCATATGTAAAACTCAGGTTTTTTTATCTTGCCACACTTTAATATTTCCATGTATTCAAAAATGTAAAAGATAAATGAGAGAACTATTCTGTCAGTTTACTAATAATCTTCCCAAAGATCTAATGTTTTTTCTTATAGCTAATTTAGAGTAAAGTAAGCAATCTTAAACAGATGTGGTAGTGCATACCTGTAATCCCAGCACTCAGGTGGCTGGGGCAGAAGGATCATTAATTGTACACCAACCTGGCTACATAGTGAGTTCAAACTAAGCCTGAACTACATAGTGAGACCCTGTCTCCAAAAAAAAAGAAAGAAAGAAATATAACTTATTTCTATGTACCTTTTTTCCAATTCACAAATAGCAAGAAGACAATTGGCAGAATAATAACTACAATGATAGTACTGTGCAGCATTTATTTGGCACTTCCTATCAATTTGGCACAGTGCTAAGGATTTGAAATATCCTAATATTTCCTTTTTTTTTTTTTCCAGAAAGAACTAGAGGCCTGCAATTGCAGGTTAGTAAGTAGCAGGACTAGAAGGTAGCTTTGATTCTAGCCAGTGGCCTTAATTTCTAGTCTAAACAGTTATGAATAGTACATGTGAATACTTAGTAGGTTTGACTTTTTAATGCTGATAATTCACAATGATCCTTATATACAAGGCTAGCCCAACTTGTATTATATTCAATTAAGTGTCAGTGATATATTATGTGACCTGTAATATATGCAAATCTTTGGAAAAGTGGTCTATATTTTAATAGCTTTAGTCTTGTTATTAACCCATAATACCTCTTATGCACTCACTATGTAGTTTATCTTCTTTTGTGGCAGATTTTCTGTTTTTGTAATCACCAAATCATGTTACTAATGTTATGTTTTGGTTTGTTTTTCAGTGATCCTTTTCTGTATGGCTGCCCTAATATTCCCAATAGGATTTTACATCAATGAAGTCGGAGGTCAACCTTATAAATTACCCAACAACACAGTAGTTGGGTCATCATATGTACTTTTTGTCTTATCAATTTTCTTTACAATAGTAGGACTTCTATTTGCTGGCAAAGTTTGTTTACCAGGCTGATGAATGTCTAAACTGCTTGACTTTTTTTTTTTTTTTTAAGAGGGTGGGAGGACAAAGACAAGGCATCTGAGTAATCCTCTCATAGGAAGATGCTTAGATGAAACTGATGTTGAAAGAAAAAACTTATTTGATTTGTTCTCACTATGCACTTTGGATTTTAGAAA